TGAATTAGATTTTATTTTATATTTAAAAATTAATTTTTTTCAAAATGCGAAACGTAATAATTGTAAATCATCAGACTCAGTGAGATAGCGTCTAGCTTTTTGGCAGAAGTTGCTAAGGTAATCGTAAAAGAGGACTTGTACAATGCAACCTAAAAGTTATTCACGAATGGTAGTAGTGTGAATTTTAAGGAGGTTTATCGAAGTGAAGTATATTTATAAAGATATTGCAATATAATATCAATAGTTTCCTTGACAAGAAAAGTAATAAAAACGCTTCCTCCGTCGAAAGGATCTAAAATACCGTTATTAGGTTTGGTGAAGTGTGAAATTTGTAGAAATTCACAAACAACTCTGACACTCTTTTTTTAACGAGATAACGTATATATATATTATATATATATATATATATATATATATATATATATATATATATATATATATATATATATGGGTGTAGACCGAGTGGTTAGAAAGTTTGCTTCCTGACCATGAAACCCGGCTTCGAATCTCACCATTGTCACCTTTGGAAAGTGTTTGGCAACCATATCACGGGTTGACCCAAGTCTTGTGAGTGAAATTTGGTAGACAGAGATCTGGAGAGCGGTCGATAGTTGTGTTAGCCCAAAGCCGTAAGTCATCGCCGACGAAGTCTTAAGCGTGTTGGCCTTGTTCAATTTGTTGATCACTCTAGATAACACATTTTCTCCCAGAAACATTATTAAGGTCTGATCAGCATAGTTGCAGTATGTACCGCAGTTGGGCTGTGTAGGTGTAAATCAAACACAAATGTTCCTTAGCCAGCGTTTATAATAAGGATTGTCTAGCCGACCTATTAGACAGGTATTCTCGAATACGAATGGCCAGCTATATTTTCCATAATTCTTATAAAAAAATAAAGCATAATATATTTGAAAAAATATCCACATTACAACCAAAAACGTTAGCAGTTTTTCTCTTCTTTTTAATATACGCACTTTTCTCTCGGTGGAATTACTATAACCTCATCACTTTATATATATATATATTTATATATATATATATATATATATATATATATATATATATATATATATATATATATATATATATATATATATATATATAGAAAATATAGAAAATAGGAAGGAACTGGTTAGGTAAATAATAAAAGTCCCTTAGTATCTTAGTTATTATTTTTTTTTTTTAAATAGTGCTCGATACAAAAGTAAAGCATAAATATAATTATTTATTTATTATTTTATTTAGCGAATTGGAATCATATTTTTAAATAAATAATCATATATATATATATATATATATATATATATATATATATAGAGAGAGAGAGAGAGAGAGAAAGATAGAGAGAGAGAGAGAAAATGACTGAGTGAGTGAGTGAGTGATAAATTGTTGTCTAAATTCCGCAAAAATGAAAATAAGACTGACATCTTATTTTAACAGATATATTTACCAAAATTACTCCAAAATATATTGAAATACTAAAAACTAAATGTATTCAATAAAAGCGCCATTGGCTTCAACCACAGCACGCAGTCGACTTCGGAATCCCCTGTATCTCTTCTAGTCGGTCTCTTTGCTTATGTTGGTGAATGCTACCATAGTCCTTGTCTTCTGTTCATTTTTGGTGTTACAAGGAGTTTTGTCGGTCTGTCGCTCATCTGCTCCCCACACATAATAGTCAAGTGTGTTGCAGTATGAGGAGTTAGGCATCAAGATGTAAGGGGCGATGGGGTGGCAGAAATTGTCTGAGAGCCATGACTGGTTTCTCCTGCTTGTGTGGCATGGTACAGAGTCCTGTTGCCAGTCAATGGGTCTTCCAGCAGACATCCTAATGACCCGGGGTAGCACTACCTCCTTAGGACACGATATAAGCCTCCTTATCTGAGGCTCAGTAGGAAGATTAACGGAGGCCTAACGTCGCCATCACTAATGATAACTCCAAACATTATGATGTTGAGGGGATATATCATCAAACTCTTTCCGAATCCTCTGCACTGTCCTCAGTTTGACACCCAAACACTCTGAAATCTTGGTATTGGAACATCTAGCGCGAATGCCAAGCCGTACAGCCTGCCGTTTCCAAATATCTGATGGAGTAGATTGCGGCGTGGTGCTCTTTTTCTCGCAAACGGTGTACAACTGACCCTGTGAAGTCGACCAAATCCGATCGTACGATAACGAGTGTTTCAGTTTGATATGTCTGTAAGCCTCTATGGATGAACACATGAATATTAAAACAAACTATTCTGGCTTAACTGTAGAAAACATTCGAACGTTAATAGAATTCTTTGTTTTGTTAAATGTATCATAAATTTAAATTATGATAAGTAAAGTGAAATTTAGTTTTTGAACTTTTAATATCCAGGTATTTTCCCTAATCTTCGGATAGATTTCTTTTAAGTTATATAATATTGTACAAGACAAGGCACAGAAAAGATGGATGTCATATTGAAGCAAGAAAGGAGAAGAAAATACGACCAAAGTTTGAAGAAAGTGAAAGGAAAAATGATTTAAAAGGCATAAAAATAGACAAAATTCATTGTAACCTGATTTTGCTAGGAGTAGAGAAGGCGCAACTAAATTTTTCTTATTTCCGACATTTTGTTTTTGTTTTGTAGACGCTTTTAAAAATAAACTCTTACTATATTCACTACTAATGAAAATGAAACCCAATTCTATGTCTAGTAGCTGTTGGCATTCAGTGTAAACAAAGTCACCAATTAAAAGGAAACCAACGAACATATGACTGACCAGGTATGTGTTCGAAGGAATTAAAGAGAAAGACAAACATCGCCAGGAGAGGCCAAATATTGCAATGAGTAAAAGAATAAAAAAAGCCATTATATGCAGAAAAGCATAAAAAACAGTGGCGAATATGCAGTTGTGTTTTCGTATTTTTCATGCATAAAAAATATAACTGTTTTGAAAGAAGTTTACTGAGAAAAACTATTAAATATAAATAATTGAGAATTGGACGTGTCAGACTATTTCAAAGTATGTTCCTAGTATTTGCTACACAGAACATATATTGATTGGCATCTAACCCATAACCCCCTGGTGTCAGTTTAATCTGATGACCTTTTTTCCCTATATTCTGACCATTTTGCTTAACGTTCGTATTTTAAATTTCAGAATGAGCATATTTCAATGAAATGCTCAGTTTCCGTAATTAAGGACAGAACAGTGTGGAAAGAGATTGTCAATGGAGTTCCGACCAACCATAGAGATGTCGAAGGATGATGATGATGGGAAAAATTTAGTGCGGATGATTGTGGAAAGGACAAAAATAAACAGTGTTCAAAAAGACATAAATTTTTGACTGAAGTATTTAATTTTTTGAAGACTATAGGAAGAACGACATCGGAAGGGATGTGCACAGGCGAGAAGTCTCAGAAAAGAGACAGTTAGAATTGAAGTAGCAGTTACATCGAGCTAGTTCAGCAGCAAAACGGTGAAACCTAGTTGCCAAACTAGTAGCACGTTTAAATTTATGTTGTCGGGGTACCATAGAAAAGAAGCTCACTAGAAGAGAAAATATTTGTACAAAAGACGCAGGGAAGCCACGTGACGTCGGCGAGAAAATGGTTGAAATCAAGATACCGGATCAGGATTGGTTACATTATTTCAGACTCTTCTTTGAATTTAGTCAGGAATTTTTAGTTATACACCAGGAACACCAGATCAAATATGGCAACATTAGTCATCTTCTTTATTAATAACTTCACCCCAAGAAAAGGAGGAATGCCACGAGTATGCAGGGAGTTACAGGGAGAAAAATGGAGAGAAAAGATTTGGTACAGAGATACTTGAGAAAAGGACAAAAAAGATGAACGGTATTCAAGAAAATAGAAGATGGCGATTGATGTTGCATTTAATTTTTTTAAGATTGTAGTTATCGGGGAATCTATTAAACGGGGGGGGGTCCAAAGGCGGGAAGTGCAAGAAAAGAAGGTGTTGGAGTAGAAGTGGCGGTTACATTTAAATATTTCAACAATAATATGGTGCGAACTAGATGACAATCTTGTAACAGACTTAAATTCATATAGTTGTGGCTCCAAGGAAAAAAGCTCGTCACAGTAGTTGTCATGAAAATATTTCTAAACCAACTTTTCTCGCAGCAGATGCAGCAATTGATTCGATAAAATCAGTCTACTATATAACATTGGAAAGTGTGCGGCCAAGATGGCGAAGAATGTTACTCTCCAGGATTTCAGCATCAGACATACTGATATCATACAGAAATGGTTCTTTATAGTGATTAAATGAAAGCAGTTTTATTTTAATGTTGCCTATTACTTGTGCCTGTATGTGTATCACTGACTACATAAATATTTTTTCGCACAAAGATGCGTATGAATTGTGCCTTACAAGGATGTATATGTACTTTTCTGAAGGATGCAAATGTTTATCTCAAAGATATATTTGTTTCCATGGAACGTATATTTAATCTTCTTTTCGACGATGTATATCTGTGCTTCATCCAGCCAAGGATGGCTGGAGGATGCATAGGTTTCTCTCAAAATGCATATGTGTTTTCTTCAAGGATATAAATACGTTTCTTTATGAAATACATATGCTTCTCAGAAGGACGCATATAATTTTTCCTCAAGGATGCATACGTGTTTCTCTTATGGATATACGTGGGTCTTGCTTGAATGTAAATCTTTTCCCCCATAAGGATGCATATATGTTTCTCTTAAGCACGAATATTTCTTTCAAATATATTCATTTATGTATATTACTTTTTTTTCCTTTTCTATCTATCTATCTATCTATCTATCTATCTATCTATCTATCTATCTATCTTCAATTTCGATATTTTCATACATATTTATTGGTATATATATATATATATATATATATATATATATCTACCTATCTATCTATCTATTTCAATTTCGATGATGATATATATATATATATATATATATATATATATATATATATTCATATCTATCTATTAAAAATCTCTCCATAACTATCTGAATTTCTTAAAATTTATGTATCTATCTAATTTTTTCCTATCCATGTATTTCAAATCCGATATATTCATATTTATTTCCTCATATGTTTATACATATCTGTATATTTATCTATATGATTATACATATCTATCTATCTATCTATCTATCTATCTATCTATCTATCTATCTATCTATCTATCTATTTTAATTTGTTAATATCAATATACCAATGTGTCTGATTCAGTTTCTATACTTAAGATATCTTTTATATATATATATATATATATATATATATATATATATATATATATATATATATATATATATATATATCTTCAATTTGTTAATATCTATCTCTTCATCTAACCATTCCAATTTGTTAATATCTATCTACAACACACACACACACACACACACACACACACACACATATATATATATATATATATATATATATATATATATATATCCTCACACTGAATAGGAAATTGTTGACTGGATGACTAGTTATTTGGTCGTGCCTATCTGACCTTTACTCATCAGACGTATCGACGCGTGTTGCTTGCACGATTTATTTTTACAGTTTGGTTAGCCATTTCCCACGCCGTCCATCACCATATTTTTATTCGTATGCTTTCAACTGGTGAGAGGAAAACAAAGCATCCTAAATGTCTTCGTCGACCCAGGCATTTATTTTTGCTTGCTTCATTGACAGAATTTGGTATTTCTAAACAAAAAGATCCGAACTCTATGGGGCAAGATGCTGTCGGTTTCTGGTTAAAGCAACCAATCACTGAACAGTGGAAAAGAATTTCACGCATCGTATTTATGACTAAGCGCCTCCTTCAGAATATTATTTTTTTTCCGAAACTATATTTTACAATTTGAAGCAAAAGTTAGCCTTTGTTCGTTTTTTTATCTTTTTTTTTCTTACTCTGCTGTTGTTTTTTTTAATTATTACTATAATGCTTTATTTTTTATCGAAATTCTTCTGATGGAAGCACGGTAAAATAATGGATAGCGGCTCGGATTGAGGAATCGGAGAGCCGAGTTCGATTTCCAGTCCGAGCCATTATATTCACTTACGTGCTTGGAAAAGGTTTGAATCCCCTTCTTCTCCACCCATTCCCAGCTATGGGTAAATAGCAGGAAGGTAACTCTGAATTGAAAAACTGGCCTGGTGTGTTTTGGGGTCAGTCAGGCTATCTTTCCCAAGAAACACCAACTCTAATGCGGCTGCAATACACATGGTGCCCCTACGACACTCCATGTTTTGGGGATATTATTTTAATATATTTAATAAAACATTTTGTAATGTATCTAGTAATTTTGAATTACACCTACACAGCCCAACTGTGGTTCATACTGCAACTATGCTGATCAGACCTTAATAATGTTTCTGGGAGAAAATGTGTTATCTAGAGTGATCAACAAATTTATGTTGAATAGCAAGGCTGAGAGATACAAGTGTTTTTGCGTTTGTTTCGAATCGGTTTCCTTGTGTTCAGCATTTGTATGACAAATCAGTCCTACTGGGTAATTACTGAAAGACGTTCAGCCATAATAGCTCTTCTTCTTCTTCTTCTTCTTCTTCGTCGTCGTCGTCGTCGTCTTCATCTTCTTCGTCGTCGTCTTTTTCTTTTTCTTCTTCTTCTTCGTCGTCGTCTTCTTCTTCTTCGTCGTCGTCGTCTTCTTCTTCTTCTTCTTCGTCGTCGTCGTCGTCGTCGTCGTCTTCTTCTTCGTCGTCTTCTTCTTCATCTTCTTCTTCTTCTTCGTCGTCGTCTTTTTCTTCTTCTTCTTCGTCGTCGTCTTCTTCTATGTCGTCGTCTTTTTTTTCTTCTTCTTCTTCTTCTTCGTCGTCGTCGTCGTCGTCGTCTTCTTCTTCTTCTTCTTTTGTGCCATGTCCTTTCAGGTCGCGCGCGATCCTGACTACACAATTTTCTGCACTTTGTAGCTCTTAGTGAAATTTGTGTCCCCTAGTCCTAACACAAACCTCGTTAGATAGGTTATGCACTATTTTCCTTTCTCCCAGTTCTTCTCCCCCGAGAAGAACAGATTATGTTCTATAGCCTTAGATTGTAGCCGGTCTAGGAGGAGGTAACTCTGAATTCAAAACAGGACCCAGTATTACAAGTCAGTCTTACTAGGTAGTTACTGAAAGCCATTTGCCACAATAGAAGTAATTCAGGCTTAAATAAGGATAACAATGTTTCAAATGGTCGGGCTCATGTCAGCTTTGTGCTGAGTTGGAGCCACCAATTACTTACTTCATGAGTGGATCTGTTAAACACGTCCGAATGCTCTGCCTTTGAAACTGTTAAGAGAGTTCAGGCGTCGGTGTACCGGGGAGACGAACGTTCCCTAGTTGGGGACACCTCTTATCTAAGTTCTGGTGCATCTTGAAGGAAGAAAAAGAGATAGAGAGGAAGGAAAATGTTTGTCTTTTTTCACGAAGCCAAGTGTGGTATGAAAATTTCCTGATCCTTTATTACTAGCATAATGGGATAATGTAGTTCTTTTTTTTTAATTTTATTTTTATTTTTCAGTCAGGTCTATTACATTCACTTACGTGTTAAGACCCTTGGAAAAGATATACATCCTCTTGTTGTCTCTCCTCAGCTATGGGTATATAACAGGACAGACTTGGTTCTCTAGGAGAAGGTAATTCTGAATTCAAAATCCGGCCTGTAGAGGGTTGAGCTTCGTCAGGCTATCTTGCTCAAGAAACACCACTTCCACTGCGGCTGCAGTACATGTGGTACCCCTAAAACACTGATGGTTCACGGGATCCACGATCGTGATTCTTTAAAATGGACGTGAATGCGGTAAAGTGAGGTTTCTTTTATTTCTCATGCCATGCTCTGACAATAGTCAATTTAAACCATAAATGGAATTTTATTTCGATATATGGGCTGCAGTATCCTAATTTAAACAAATTTGAAAAATAGCTTTCGCTTGTGCACGATGCATTATTTTCAAAACCTAAAAATCTTTCAAAGAGACACAATATTGAATGCCTATTTTTACACTGTTGCAAATCCCTTGGCAAATGCTCAGAGACTTTGCCTTTATTTGTTCCTATATTAAAAATCTTTACATATAAGATCACCTTCCGACGTATAATGAGTCGAATCATTCGCATAACCTTTGGTAAGATAGAAATCCGATTAATGTTCGTCCCAAAGACCACTTCTAGACGGAACAGACACCTGAGAGAAGGCTTCCTTGATTAATACCATCAAACTATCCATCTCATCTATCCAATATCTTACTTATTATAAAACGCAGATTGTGTGTGTGTGTGTGTGTGTGTGTCTGTACGTTTATATATTGGATCGGATTTCCTACATTTTTTAACCGATTTCAACAAAACTTCACAAGACTACGTAAAATTACGTTGCGGTGGTTCTGACAGCGCCAAAAATTGGAAAAACACAATTGTTTTGCAGGAAATCAATTTGAAAACACGTTTAAGAGGCATCACGAGAATGAAAGGGGGACAACTCATATCGAGTTATACTTATTATAAAACCAAGGTTGTGTGTGTGTGTGTGTGTGTGTGTGTGTTCGTTTATATATGGGATAGGATTTCCTACATTTTTCAACCGATTTCAACAAAACTTCACTTTTTTTGGCAGGTAGTGTTTCTTATTGTTTTGCACACTTTTTTCTTTATTTTTACATTCATAATGCTTTAAAAATTCCATTTACAAGACAATTGTTTATAATAAAATTCTATTCAATCATAACGATTGAAAACAATGTTTTTGTTTGGGTTTGACTAATTCGTAAAAAAAAAAAAAAACTATTTAAGACATGCATGTCCGTCAACCTTAAACAATAATCTTTGTCAATTTTATTTTTCAGTCTTTATGATGGTTGATACTTGATCTATCTCTTACTGTTACATCCCCGGGCAACGCCGGGCTCTACTGCTAGTAATCTCATAATTCTCGCTTATTTCGTCTTCATACAACAACCTAATTCATTGTTCTACCTTGATAGGATCTTGGGGCTTTTCTTGCTTGGACATTCAGTAAAGAAAAATAATTAAATGCCTTTTCCGAAACAAGACTTAATTGTAGATAGCAGATAATAGAATTAGCTTTTCTTTTGGGAGGTAGTGTTGAAATTCAGTCTTTTCCAGGGTTAATTAAATATATCTCGAGAATTATATATCCGGATAGTGCGAAGGACTGAGGACGTATTAATCACCATTAGATAATGTTTAGACAAGGCAAACCAAAGAAAAACAAAAAGTAGAAATAATGCCAACCAACTTTATCTTCATAAATTTTCAGATAAATCATTTTAGTAGAACCTGGTGAAATTACCCTTTACAAAAACTTTGTGAATTAATGAAATATTTAGATAATAAATCATTATATATATATATATATATATATATATATATATTGGCTTTTGAAAAAAGCAAGATAGCTATGCTGCTTTAATTTTGACATAAAGCATTATTTTGCAAATTATTCAGACTAGATGGAAGCAAAGAAAATAGTGCGGAACATTATAATATTAATCCTCCTATATAGCAATAAATGCTGGACAATTTTCTCGGAGATGAAGATATGTGGTTCTACAGAAGGACTACCTAGAATACCATGGACAACGCATGTAAGCAACGAGGAAGTTTTAGGGTAAATGCAAAGAATAAATGACTGACACATAAAATCCGAAAGATTGAATGATTCATTTTTTAAGGATTACCAACCCTTTTGCAGGTTGTTTAAAACCAGAAAATACTTTTTAGAAAATACGAATTTATTTTTGATAATAAGAGTTTAGTAATAAATGTCTTAATTATTAGCCCATAGCTGGAGGAGAAGAGGTTGGATTCATACTTTTCCTAGGGGTATTTACGCGTAAGTGGATATAACAAACCCGACTGGAATTGGAACTCAGCTCTCCAGTTAAGAATTCCGAAGCATTATCCATTACACCACCTGCACATCCAAACTTACACTATTCCTAAACGTTCTCCCATTTAAGTATTGATCTGGTTCAACGTAGCTTAACTACGGTTATGGTACGCGGACATGTGTTTTAACGTCACGTAGCTGTAAGCCCCCGAAATCAGAAAGCGGCTGTTAAAATTTCTCGGTCACAAAAATGAGGTTGGACTGCTTGGAATATTTTTGACTCACAGAACAAACTGAAACTCAAATTGGACAGATTTACAATGATTCACGTATTTAAGGCTGTTGTATAAATGAAGGTCAGAACAACGAAAATGGCAGTAAATAAGCGAATATGATAACAAGATAAATTACAAGAAGTTGTGGAGAGATATGATGGCCCAAATCCGGCTCGTTCTAAGATTTTATATCTATTTTCTAGAGTTGGTAAATATATTTATGTTTTTAATTTTTTTTTTATATTCATGAGTGTTTGTATATCACGATAGATTTCTTGACGTGTTTTCTGTTATTCATGTCTTTACTAAACTCCACTTTAAAAGTCCAGTTTATCTGAAATACAATCTTCATCTTTTTGAAATTATTTATTTATTTTAAAAAAGAAAATATTGGAAAAATCTGCGGTACGGGTTAACATATTAGCAAGATTCGAAAGTAGTATTCCCAAGAATTTCCCATCTAAATAAGGTATTTTCGTTTTTAGTAAATGTATTATTCATTGTGGTTGCACATATTTCTGTGTATGACTAATCTATTTGATAAATGGATGTATAATATCCTTTCTGTATTTAAAGATTATTATTTTGAGGAGATTTTAGATTTTGCATGCCTTTCTGTAATTCTTATTGTTAAAATAATAAGGATATCAGATGCTTTTAACGTTGTTTTCTGTGTATATTTCTTCTTCAGATATATATTGGGGTTCGACGTTTCTGAGTGTTCTTAAACAGAATTCTGTAATTATTCGCGATTTTATTCTGTTTCACTGGTGAGGATAAAATTTTATGTTGTCATTCTTGCTGGTAGTTTTTTTTTTCTATAAGCATTTAATTGGATTTCATTATTGATTTTATAGATGATGTGTTCTTCCCTTATCGTTCCCCTTCATCTCATTACTATTTCTGATAGTATAGATAAGGTTCTTCTGCATTAGTCTATAAATATATTTGGGTTCGGTGAATTCAGTGACTATCATGTCAAGTGACTTAATCACTCTAATAATACTGAACATACTGGCATTCAGACTTTGAACTTTGAAATCTATTATTCCCACACTCAAATAGTTGGCATTGACACTCATTTCCCCAGTAATTCTGAAACGGACACTCTTCTGTACTTGATCTATTCCTTGCCTCCTACCTGGGCTCATGACTTGCTCTGCAGCTCGCTCCTTTTGGCAAATGCCTTAATGTTTATAGATATATATTTCTGTTGAGCAATCAGTCAAGTAATCCCTGTTAACAAAACATTGTTCTGTTATCAACGCACTGATTGGGCCTCATTTTGTGATTTTCTTCGTGATTCCCTTTGGAATGTAATTTGTAATAATCCTGTTAAGAAATGTGCCAGTTTGGTCTTTTCCTATGTGAACAGTTTTCTTTGTTCTCTCCTGCCTGTTCAGCCGTTATAGCCCCAACCCCCGGGATTATATTCTTCTGGCTATACGAGAGCGATAGGTTCAATTGTAACAGGTGTCTTTTTACCATTGCTCGTAATTAGTGCAAGTGTGTCCTTAAAGAATCAATTTTTTTTTATATACAATTAGACATCTCTCAAAAGTTTGTTTCTAGAGATTACTGAGGTTCTTCAAAAGTTTGCAAATCTTCGGTCTTCTTTGTCCTCAATCAATCTGACGTATTAACATATATTGCAGATAAAGCAATTTTCTCGAAGATTATTACTTCCGATTCTAATCTCGTCTCTTCTGAAATATTTCGGTCGGATGTTTTTACTAGAACCGTGGATATACTG